CTGTTGCGGCTGCACCGGCTGTGGTTGCTGCTGCTGCTGCAGCTGCTGTTGCTCAAAGATGCGTCTGGTCTCCTGCAGCTTGGAGTAGCTGGGCGATGAGGCCCGCTGGTGGCCGTTTTCTGGTTTAGTGTCGAACTTGCTCACGCGCTCCGACACGGTGGATCCGAGCTTCAGGAGAGCGCTGTGGTCCACGTTTTCATTCAGGCTCCCGGCTCTGGGCAGGGACAGGCGCACGGATTTGTCGCTGTTCCTGGTCGCCTCCTCCCCCTCTGCATCCGCCGGGGATGTGGTCTGCATCTGCTGAAACATATTTTTGATACGGTGCACATTGGAGCCGTACCTGCGGCCCCGGGGTCCATCTTGCAAGTCTCCGTTGGCAGCATTGTCTGTGACGGGCTTCAGGGCCTGCATCTCCGCCTCGTAGGCGTTCCTGTGCGGTGATGGGCTCCTGAGCGTGGAGCCAGAGCCGGTGCTCTTGGATGTGGATTCGGTCTTCATCATGTTCAGTCAGTGGATGCTCAGTGACGGCATGTCTACTTTCTCAGTCCGCGGTGGCCAATCCGTTCGATCCGCCAAGCAGCCGGCAGCGGTGAGGTGGAGCCCAGACTGTTACTGGCAGATGGAGAGAAACAAAACAACAGATCGCGTTAAAGGCCTGCGATTCTCCCCTGATGCTACAGAGAAAGTGTGCACGATGCATCTGTCATTTGATGGCGTGCGGCAACACAATGAAAGCCTAACGTTGACGGGAAACCGCATTAGTCAATTAAAACATTTGCACAGAAAAAAAGTGGAACAGCAATGAGCGCGGATTTGACGACGCTGACGACAAAGTGCTTACGTTTAATCCCTTTTTGCAGACAGCATCATTTTGATCTCTTCATTCTGTGAGCTGCAGATTTCTGCTGGTCCTCCTCTCTGAGCAGCGACCGGGCTGCTGCATGCAGAAGGAAGCCGCCGGGTCCTAGTGTCCACCCGGTCTGTTTTATGACCTCTCCTAACTGTTTTTTTTTTTTTGTTTGTTTATTTACTAAGCAAAATGGAAAACAACGCAGGGTGTATAAAAATAGATATAATACTACTTACAAAACGGTTCAAAATAGCAACAGGAATAGACAGGGATACAAACCAAAAAGGAACAGTACAATTCAAGCAATAAATACAAACACACACACACAAAGTAATGAGTATAATAAGATAAGTACAGTATTGTGTATTTATTTTTAGAGATTCGAAATAATTTGTAAAACTTTCACTAAATACATCTAAAGGGGGCGCCATTGCTTCAGTAAGAAGTGTTAAGCAGCATGGTCTGTCTTTATTACATACATCTTAAGAGGGAAGTCAGTCAGAAGTTGTGTGTGACATCCATCTAAAAACCTTCAAGGTCACCTTCAGCTGATTTATCCAATAAGAGCTAGGTGATGGTCAACATTTTTACTAACTGTGGCTGACAGTATAGCCAGGCTCCTATTGGATAATCAGGTGTCCAATTACAAACAATATCCAATCATATTTGTCATCCCACTCATATAAACATTTTAATTTCCCATAAATAAATTGTATTAAATGATCTGTGCACATAGTCACAGACTTGATTAATAGCCTACTAATTTTCTAATAATCAGTGCTGCCTGTCATCCACAAACTCTGGGCACACATCCTGTAATAAATAAGCTTATAGACGGTGTCAAAAGGTGGAGAAAACAGATGAGTTGGATGTTATAACACTTTCATCCTCTATAAATAACAAAAAACAATGCAAAAAAAGGTTAATTCGCCTTTAAATTATCAGTAAATTAAAATATTTACTTTGTTTGTGTGTAATATATGTCTAAAAATAGGGGGTGGGGTAGCTGTGAGCCTTTTAAACAAACAACAAAAAAAACTAACGTGCTGAATGAAGAGGCTGGAATCATTAGCTGAAGGTATTGATGCTTTAAAGAGCTCAGGGTCATCAATATAAACCTCATATAACTGGCTAATATGTTGGAATAGAACGAACTGTAGGAAGTTTTATGAAGTTTTTAAATTTCAAAGCAAAGGATAAACTGACAAAGATGTCCTGTCATTTCCTGAGTCTGAGTCTGCTCACTGGTTGCAGCCTGTCAGACAAAGAACTCCCATTAGGACCCAGTAGAACTTTGCTCTCCCTGGACCTTGTGGCCAATAACACATCTGTTATTTGCAGGCCACGTTGATGTCTCGTGCTTTTAGCATCAGTTCTCTCAGATAAATTAATATTGTCACCAAAGCTAGACAAAGCATTCACCTTTTATTGGCACCGTTGGTGGTGCTTTCCACTTCCTGCCCACGCTGTCCTGTCTGCCTTTCAGGTCAGGGCCCAGGTGTTCATTGTTCAGTTCTGTTCATGGTTTTTAAATCTTCAACCACTGGGTCCTTTATCATGTGTGGTCTCCATTTAGAAAGAGGTGAGGGCCAGATGTTCAGTGTGTCCACTGAGCGAAATAACCTGTGAAGAGAATATCGACCAACATTGCCATCTAGCGTTCTTTTAAGGTAACGTCGATTTGTTAGTTGTCTAAAGTACTCTAATTTTTATGATCATTTACCAATCATATTAACGATAATAAAATCATTATTCTCAGATCATTAATCTCTCAGTATCCCACGGAAATGTCAAGTTGTGTAAGGATAAATTCAGAATTCTACCTAAAAAGCCAAACAATGAAAACAGAAGACTACTGACAGACGTGTTAAGTAAATGTTGCTTGTATCAACTTCAGAATACTAAGGAATTCAAACTTCCGTTTTGTACTAGGAATAAAGAAAAAAAAAATCGTAATTCTCATCATGATCTCGGAAACTGAGATGAAAGAAAAAAGAAGTGGGGTCTGTGACTGACAGCAACACATGTTCTATTCTCTACATCATTTTCATAGTAAACCAGTGTTTTGATGGACAGGCCGGGACCTTGCATAGATTCAACCAAGTCATCTAAATAGAAAATACTGAGAAACTGTAGAAATATATTCACTAACTTTGATAGTTAATATAGTGGATATATTCTAGTTACTGAAAACAAATGTATTATACAATATAAAAATGTGTCAAAAGTAACCAATCACCTCTGCTGTTATAAATATGTTTTATGGGCAACTCTGTTTTACGCCACAGCTCCACATTCACAGACTCACAGACACCCCTGCCGGATGTTGTTAGGTGTGGGTAGTAAAAATAGCTCTGATGTAGCCGTGCTGCTCTGACCACGGCCCCGTCCGCTTGGCTCTGTCAATCAAAGGCCAAAACAAGATGGCAGGCAGCAGGAGCTGGGGCTTCTTTTTAACAGGCAAGTTTTATTCTTTAACATCATTATGTTAAAGTCTGTCTGTTGTCCCCTGTTGTATTCAAAGTATTTTTTCTGTCATTTCCAACTACTGCGTAACCACTTTTGATTCTTTTTTTTATTGTGTCTACATAGTTTGTGCCGTCAGTTTGTATGGAGCCAGTGCAGAGATCAAGTTTACCATTCCTGTTGGGAAGTTATTTACATACGAGCTGATGAGAGAGACTTTCCAGAATGACTTTGAACCTTTGTCCAAACTTTACGGTAAGATCCTGAATCATACGTTTGCACTGGTTGTCTTCACAAACCAATACAAAACACTTACTTATGCATGCACTTCTCCAAACTTTTATTTTGTATGCGGTAAAGCTGGACGCCTGTACGATGACCCCATGATGTTTAAGTGCAACAGGCAGAATTACCCAGACCTCCCAGAGTGGCTGCGTTTCACCCAAAGGCACTCTTATGACAATGGCTTCCTGTATGGCACACCAACATCACCAGGCAAAAGTATTATTGAGGTATGATGTCATCATCATACTCATGCAGTAAAGTAATGGCAAAAGCCAAAAATATGCAAAGCAGTCAGAAGGCAAAAAATTCAATTTCTGACCTCATTTTGTCTGTGAAAATTCAATTCAATATTTATGCAAATTCTTCTTCTGTGCTGAACGAAGATAAGATTCTAGTGCAGCTCCAACAATGGTGAGGCTGAAAAAACATCCAGCTATCTGAAAGATCGGAGGAAAATGTCAGGTGGTGTCAGCCGGCCCCCGAGACTGACGCTTGTGTGTACTCACTGAAGTGGAACTAATAATAAAATCCAGACAGAAACCTATTTTTAAAGAATGCATAAGAATGATTGCCGTGCAGCGGTATGGAACCAGATCGAATCCAGGTTCATCTAAGGCAGACCTGGATAAGGTACTGCCCCTGGGCCAGATACAGCTTTCTAATCTGGCCTGACATCCATCTTTGTAAGTTAAGGTTTATTCTTGTACATTGTATATTAATTATTTCACCCATCTTTAAACATCCAACCAGTACAGCCCACCAGTCAAATTTGGAACCTCATTTTGGCCCCTGATGTCCAGCACTGATCTAAGGCACAACTGGAGACTGTTATATTTTAAATAGCGTATACATTGTTACTGTAATACTGTATTAATAAATTCTTATGCATTTTCTTCAAAGGTCTATGCTGTCAACAAGCGCAGCTATGACACAACCAGACAGATACTGGTGATTAAAATTGTCCCAGGTATGTGTGATCTGCAGGTAAAGAAAATGATTGTGATTTTTTTTTCAAATATTTAACCTTTTTCTGTTTTATCATATTTATATGCATTTATATGCAATATCTCGAAGCACGAACAACAAAAGTGGTTTCTTTTTACGCGTTTAGTCAAAGCTTCTTCCAAATGCATTGTAACTCTGACACACACATAGTAGTATATATATATAATGCCAATATGTTCAAACACAATATTTGCTTTTCTATAAATACTTCATATATTGCATGCTTAAACAATATGTACTTTTTAACTTTTATCAAACCAAATCTCTTTCACTCACAGAAAAGGTTTTGCCATACCAAGCTGAATTCTTCATCAAACTGAGGGAGATTGAGAAGGTGCTGCCCTCTTCTGTCCAGGATGAGATAAAGCAGGATTTACAGAAGCTGTGGGATACAGAGCCCTTGGAAATTATCAATATCACAAACGCCCTGGACCGTGGCGGCCGAGTCCCCCTGCCTCTAGCAGGACACTTTGAAGGGTAAACTGAGAGATTCCTACAACTGTGGCTTCTTCTTTTTTTTTCTTTACCCTCAATAAATTCCAGTAAAACTGGAAAATGTATTTTGATGATGTATTGCTCCCCTCCTCCTGTAGTGTCTATGTGAAGGTGGGTTCTGAGCAGTATTTCTCCGAGTGTCTACAGAAGGTGCTGACACCGGAGCACCAGAGGCAGTGCAGCACTGGGGCCAAAGTCAGGATCCCTGGAGGCTGTAACTTCTGCAGCATTCCCAGTAACTGCATCACATGGTGTAAAATAGAACTGGTGAGAACACAGCAGTGCTACAGAGAGAGACACTCAGTGGATATGAACCGATGTTTTTAATCAAAGGCCTAAATTACATCAAACCTTTGTGCTCCCTGAAGTTCGACCTGACTCAGCAGACGCCGACTCCACCTCCTCCCACAGTGGGGTCAGGTATTATGGAGGCGGGAGGCGACTTCTACCCTCCTGAGTCTCCCCCCAGCAGAGATTATTTCCCAGACTACCTAGTGACAGTGATTGTGCCTCTGATCATCGCCATCCTTCTGTGTCTACTGCTGGCCTACATCATGTACGGCCGACGAGAAGGAGTGTGAGTATTCGCTCTGAAATTAAAATGAAAAAAAATCCAGAAATTCATTAAAAAGTAACTATTTGCCCTTACATTATATTGTGTGTGTTATTCAGGTTGATAAATAAATGTTTGATATAATTCCATTATAAATTAAAAGCTGTATTGTCTTTTATCTAGTGCAAAAAGGAACGCAAGGACCAACCAGTAAGTACCCTTTTTTTTTATTATTTAAATTTGATTATTGTTGAAATTATAATGACATTCACATGCTCCGGTTTGTGTTATTGTGTTTTATTGTACAAAAAAATTGCAAAACGTATTAAATGCCCCAAATAACAAAAACCATATTTCACAGGGCATACCATTTATATTTGAATTATTTTTTCTAAGATGGCCTCAAGTGGCCCTCAGTCCTTACTTTGGACGTGCTGTAGCAAGACAAACAGATCTAGTACTGTTGTGTTTTTGTGTTTTGTAGAATTCAGCTCTATCACCACCACACCATTCATGGTAATAGTGATGAGCTGAGACAGATGTCTGGACACCGCGGTGTTCCTCCGCCTCTGTCCACTCTGCCCATGTTCAACAGTCGGACTGGGGAGACACCCCAGCCCCTGCAGTCTGACAGCCCCACTGTCCCCCTCATCATGGCCCAGCAGTAAGAGCACCATCCATCCACTCTTTATTCTGCACCTCTAATACATTCTACCTCATGTCTGTCCCTGAGTCTGAGAGAGAACGAAGATAAAACTTCTTCTTTCTTCCCCTTCTTTTCTATTGTAGTGACCCCTACAGTGACACTCTGCCCAGGTAAACTCCTAACAAATGACACCCTCCTTTGGCAGTGCCATCACCCCAAACTACAATGTTTCTTTGAATGGGTGACGAATGAATGGTGGATTTGAATAGGATTTGAGTTGTTCTCTCTGCTGTTTCTTTTTGCAGAAAATAGACAGAAAAGTTTGTCAGTCACACAGTGGTTTGCCTCTTCATTCTATTTATTTTACAGTTGCAGTGAAAAGACGTGTGTTTTATTTTCTCTTTTGGGTTCAGCTTGAATATACAAAGTGAGGGTATTCCCTCTCATGTGTTGGTGACTTCTTGTATTCCCCAATTTTCACAAACAATAAAATAGCAACAAAAATCTCATTTATAACTTTTTGGGTGTGTATTTTAAGTTTGCTTGAGAGGTTCTCAAAGTAGGTAGGGATGTCTGTCAAAGTTCAACATAGTAAAATATGCAGTGTGTATAAACAAAGCAATCAATGTTTTGAATTATTCTACATTCCTGGTACTTTAGACAAATGTAATACTGATTTCAAACCTTCAGGGAGTTTTCCAATGGTGCGTGTCTGTTCCTCTAGTCCAGCGTTGAACTTCAACTTTAGCTGCTGTTTTATCAAGAATCATCCAGGAGGTGTCACTGGTGTTCATCTTTATTGACGCGCTCAGGGTCGTTTTGACTGAACAGTCATCTCCCCTCCTCCCCTCTCAATTTAATTTTCTATTTTTAAGATTATGAAAAAAGAAAGTGAGATAACAGACTTTTTTAAAATTATAGTCTGTGATTTAGCAGCTGATGCAAATTTGACCTGATGTACAGTATATAAATTAGGTAGGTCAGGTCAGGTTGGGGATTCGAATAAGGGCCTTGTTTTCACTGCTGCATAATGGCAACATATTGAATGCAACTGCTGTGGAACAGTTGATTACTGAAACAATTCACCACTAGAATAGGTGTAGCCTCCTGACGTCCTGAAAGTCTCTGTAATTACTGTAGCTGCCTTACATTGGTGTGCCGAGCCTATTGTCCCAGCACCTGACTTCAGTTTCACAACAGTTGCAAGACAGTGAAAACTCTGCCACTGAGTAGACCACTTCACATGCTTTATTTCAGCACCCAAAATAATTAAAAACATCTTGATTTATTATACATGTACAAAATAAGTACAGAATCTCTCTTTGAAAACCATGAAAGTGGGTCTGCTTCAAATTATTTTTTAAGAAACCCTTCGCGAAAAAGACATCAACAAACAACATGAACAACAGGTTGGGAGATGTGTGCTGTTATTTTTTTTTGTTTTGCTTTTAGTGAAGAGAAACTTTCTACAGGGGCAAACAGACAGAAAGATCAACACTGAACACATGGGCAGGGAGATGATATTGAACCAGAGTCACTTGCTTTCTTGTTTATCTACAAAGACATGATTGCATGCATTACATCTGCAATGAAGACCCTTTCAGAGGACCTCTGTCATCAACCAACACTTCAGAAGAAAACAATTGCACTGCATTGACAACAAGAGGACGAGTCAATTTAGTAGCACCAAAGGTTCTGCAGGCATTAGTGGCAATAATTACAGTATGACAGTGAAGGTGTCACCATCAAACACCAATAACTGGACCTCTTCGAGATGTAATAGCATCTTAGAATGGTTTTAAATTCCCAAGATTGACTTCTTTTGTGTAAAATAAACCCTTTTCATTTAAGAAAAAAATTGGGGGTGACTTCTTGTTATGAGGTAGCCATCTACGTATTGCAACAAAGTTGAGCTCGGCTGTTTTTTTGCTCATTTGCTGGTGCGTTTGTGCAACATTCAGGTGTTTCCTTTCTGGTCAGGAATTTAGAACAAGACACTTCACACTTTTTACAATTTATTTAACACCAGAAAAATGGTACATATCACTTGTTGTTTTCAATGTCCTTCCGCAGTGGTAGAAAATGGCAAAAGTCACCTGTGTTGTCATCGCATGTGGATTTTTTTCTTAATCTCCAGGGGGAAATTTTACACAAGTATATTATATTATATTCTTGTTGCCAGTGGAAACAAAAGATTCTTATTAAAGTGTCCGTGTGGATGGTTTCAGTTGAAATAGCAGTCCCCAAAACTTTTCATGATTGGAAAAAAAAACAAACACCGTCTTCAGTAGAGTGGTTTTAAGCATGTGGACCAATGGCAGCCGAATGAGTTTTGAATGCATAGAAAAAAGGTTTTTTAGAGATGACTGCTGGAAAAAATAACAACAATGTCATGTCCATATTTCTTTCATTTTTACAAGAAGCAAACTGGGCCAATTTCGACGCCGAATTCCTGATCAGGTGCACCAACATCCATAGGAGCAATGTCAATGATGGGCAGGCGGGATGTTTTTGTTGTCTTGTAGTCAATGACTGTCTTGCCCCATGCACCAGTGTGTGACTGTAGAGTTGAAGAAAAGGGCAAAGGGTCAGAAATAGCCCCATAATTAATTGTTTTGGTTCAGAAAATTAATTTAGGAACCCATGAAAATGTGGACTTCTTCACAAACTTACCGTGCAACCGTCCTCGCTGACGCTGTATGTGAAGCGGCTGTTGCCCTCGGCTCTGATCTCAACGTCGTTGGAGCCCTGGAGCAGCAGGGCCTTCTTCAGGTTGCCGGTGGCAGAGTCCATGTAGGCAATGGTGTTCTTGCAGTGGTATGTGATGTTCTGAGAGGCCTGGTTGGACATCAGGCGCATGAAGGTCATCTGGATGCTCACATCCTCGGCATCAGCTCCCTCGCTGCCATACTGGAACTGCACGGAGGAGAATAGAGATGGACACGTGAGCTTTGTGGTCTTGAACACTCAGTGGACTAGCAGTGGATTACTTCCACTTTGTGTGTTCTCACCTGGAATCCTCCAGTCATGGCCTCGCTGAACCAGACATGCTTCTTGATATCCTGGCTGCGGTACCAGTTCTTCATGGGAATGCTGGACTCGGTGGGATAGATGCAGGTCTCGCCAGTCTCCATGTTGCAGTGGACCTTGATGGCATCCAAAGATGAGCCTTGGTTGGGGTCAACCCAGTAGGTGCCTGGAAAAAAACATTCATGTGAATCACAGCTCATCTTCACTTATTACCTTGTCTGAAGGACACAAAAAGGTTTAGTTCTTCACTCACCGTCCACGGAGGGTGGCACATCCTCAAGTCACGGCACATGCGAGCAGGGCTCTTCTGAGTACCGTCAGGGCTGCGGATCTGCTCAACCTTCTGGGTCAAGGTCTTCAGGGTGGTGTCAACCTCGTTGTCGCGATCGCGCATCATGTTGGGGTCGTCAGCGCGGTAGTGGCCTCCACGGTAGGGATCGGGAGCCTTCTCCTGGAGTGGCTGGCTGACAAAGTCAAATCCACCACCGGGTGCTCCAGGAGGACCGGCAGGTCCAGGAGGTCCAGGAGGACCCTGATGCAAGATATCAGAGTCTTGTAAGCCAATTTTTTTATGTCTAAATTGAATTATGTTCGTATCAGACAGAGAAACTTACAGCAGGTCCCATCTCTCCATTGCGACCGCGAGGTCCAGGAGGTCCAATGGGTCCAGGCAGACCGTTCATGCCATCCTTACCAGGGGAACCAGAAGATCCAGAAGGTCCCTAAAGAACAAAAGCATCAGTTTCCAACACATCTGATATTTTCCCTTAAGTTAAGGTTAATCTTATAATTGTGACATTGTACTCACTCTGGGTCCAGCAGGTCCGTTGACACCAGCAGGTCCTCTCTCTCCAGCAGCCCCCTACAGGGAGACAAAGATGGGAACATGACATATTGAACTGGAATGTAAACAGACCTGTTTTGCTTCTATGTATTTGAAACAGAAACTCACAGCAGGTCCAGGCAGACCCTGCATGCCGCTGAATCCTCTGTGTCCCTTGTGGCCTCTCTCTCCAGCCTCGCCAGCCTCTCCTCTGTCTCCCTTGGCACCAGCAGGACCCTGAACAAAAGATCAGGAGAGTTCAAGGTGCTATCTGTATTTCATCATACTGTAGGCCAACCACCTGAATTATGGATTTTTTTTTTTTCCAAAAACGTGTAAATTATTTGACAGTGCTGGTTATTACGTACAGCAGATCCACGAACACCAGCAGGGCCAGCAGGTCCAGCAGGTCCAGCGGGACCCTAGTGTAAAAAGAGAGGACAGAAAGTACAGAGGTGTCAATCAAAGTAACTGCTTTTATCAAATGAAATGTGAGCATAACTCTCTCAAAGACTCACAGCCTCTCCACGTTCACCAGTCTTTCCAGATGGGCCAACATGTCCTGGAGCTCCAGGGGTTCCAGGTGGTCCAGGGGGTCCACCGGGTCCACTCTCTCCACGGTCTCCCTATATTAGAAATGAAACCTCAGTCAGACATTGCTAACAGCTTTAGCCTAACTGTGATGTTCAGGGCCAAAACATTTCTATTCAGATATCACTTGAACAAGATAGAAAGTGATGAAGAAAAATGTAACCTTGGGGCCAGGAGCTCCGTCGCGACCAGGGTTACCATCATGTCCGGTAGATCCCTATTGAAGAGTACACTGTTGGTTAGCAGTCTTTGGCAGAGGCAAAGTAGCAGTAGAAGTAGTAGCATCATTAGCCAGTGTACAAGTCCAAATGTTGGGCCCATTAGTGACAGTCAAAGCCATTTCCTGTCCCCTACCTCACGACCAGCCTCTCCAGTGGGACCAGACAGTCCAGGAGGTCCAGCAGGTCCAGGGGCACCACGTTCACCAACAGGTCCAACAGGTCCCTGCTTTCCAGGCTCACCCTGCAGAACAACAGCAGAGATCAATATTCTGCAGTGCCCTTGTTTACATGGTTAGGAAGAGAATATGAATATCTATGGAGACTGGACAGTCTTTTTCTTTAATGCCTCTTTTCTCTGTAGGCTTCAAGACATCTGCTGGTTCTTCAGAGTATTACAAGTAGGAAATGATTTTTTTTTAATCTGTGATAAATCCTACTCACTATACTACAGGATTGTTGATATAGTGTGTACTTACACTAGGTCCTGGAAGACCAGAGAAACCACGCTCTCCACGTTGTCCGGGGGCACCTACAACACCACCCTGTCCGTTGATACCTGAGGGTCCAGGCAGACCAGCGGGACCCTAATGAGAGAGATGTGGTGGTCATTTACTGAGCATGTCAATGTAAATAGATCAATTAACTCCAGAGGATGCTGATGAACACTTGAAACTATTTTTTGCACACTGAGCAGTCACTCACAGGGGCACCATCAGAACCAGGTGATCCCTTCTCTCCAGGGTTTCCAGGAGGACCAACAGCACCAGCCTCACCAGGACGACCAGCAGCACCAGTCTCACCACGGGCTCCTCTTTGTCCATCTTTACCAACGGGTCCGGCGGGTCCAGGGGGTCCAGCAGCTCCCTGGGATCAGAAAAGGTGGGTTCAGAGGTGGGTTGTTGATGTTGGATTGTTGAAGGTGTTACTGATGATACTCACAGAGGGGCCGGGGGGTCCAACTCTGCCAGCGGGTCCAGGGAAACCAGTAGCACCCTAAGTTAACACAAACAGTTGTTAACCAAAGTTATAACTAAAAACATTTTGTTGTTACTTACAACAGTTTCTATGATGAGAAACTTACAGGAGATCCAGCACCACCACGAGCTCCTTTGGGTCCAGGAGGACCAGCAGGTCCCTGTTGAAAAATTGATAAAAATGTTACCCAGAACTGTTACTGTGTACAAAATGTCTTTGGGTTATGTGTCATTTGTAGTGGAAAGTAAAGCTACCTGAGGACCAGAACCTCCAACAGGTCCAGCGGGTCCAGGAGCACCGGCATCTCCCTTGGGTCCAGTGTCACCAGTCTCTCCCTTAGCACCAGACTGACCATCAAGACCCTGGGGGCAAAAGGTGACTCAAGTTGGAACTGGATTTTTCTGAGTCTTCAGTGAACACATTGACATTTCAAAATTGAAACTAAAACACTGCCCTCTGTAGGAAAGTGATGTGTTGCACTGTTCATGTGAAATGTATCACCAGGAGACTGATGCCAAATTGTGAATAGGAATTATCATGGGACACACTGATGTGGAACCCTTTTATTAAATCTGCTCACTGGCAGTTTGTAGACAGATTAGAGTTAAGGCTGAAGTGGTCCACATTTAAATGGTGAATGTGAATTTTGCTTTTGCCCTACCATGTTTAAAATTGTGACAGTTGCATGTTACCAGGATAAAATAGTCAGAATCGGTTGTAATTTGGGATTGTGAAAACAGGAAATGGATTTCTAACTGAAATGATGTATCAAGTAGTATAGAAAAAAAAAACTGTGGTGTGGACTTACAGGAGGTCCAGCGAATCCAGCAGGTCCAGCAGGTCCAGCCTCTCCACGCTCACCCTGTTGGACAAATTACAAAGGTCACATTGATGGTCAAAAATAGTGATCATCAACATTGTCCTTTTTTAAATGTAGAAGCATTATGAACTTACAGGGGCACCACGAGGTCCAGTGGGTCCAACAATGCCAGGAGGACCGCCCTCACCCTAAAACCAGAGGACAATGAGGTCAGAACCACAGAAATAGTAGTTTCCAACTTTGGAAAAAAAAAACTGACATCTGCATTTATACCATATGCACTACAGTAGATGTACATGTGTTGGTTGATGCCAGTGTATTTTATAGATGGACTCACCTTCTCACCCTGAGCACCAGAAGGTCCAGGAACTCCGATGGCACCAGTCATACCACGGGCACCATCTTTGCCAGGGGCACCGTTACCCCCCTTAGGACCAGCGTCGCCCTGAGAGGGAAAGATGTTTGTTATAGTAAGGTATGAATCCATTCAGAGACGTACTAAAGAGACAACCGTAAGGCATTGATTTTAATGATCCTTTCATTTGCTCAATTATTACCTAAGTTGGTTTAAACAGACATTCAGCTGTAAACATGGAACCCAGAAAGTGGGCCAGATGAGGCTGACCACTCCTGGCAAAGCTAGTGTCAAACAGATGAATGGGATTGCAGTAAAGTACTTCAAAAACGGATTCACTTTTGTAGCTGTAAGCACTTCTCATGTGTAGTATAAATACACCCTTGTGCAGTTCATGACAATTTCATGTACGTTTGGATAAACAATATATATTAGTAGCCAATGTTACTTCTCACTGACAAGAACAGAGCTTCAGCTTCCTGAGTCTTAAATATTACTACTTAAATAGCTACTCACTAAGACACCGTCTTTCCTGATACTACGACCTTTGATACTAGGTTTACGATCGTGCTATCGATTGCTACTTATGCCACTGAAGACGTTAAAACTATAACTGAAAATGCTGCGAATGACACATGACATATTTATTCTGTTACTGCTGAAGCTATTACCTCTATTATCAACTCTATTATTATTACTACTACTACTACTACAAGTAGTAGTACTGCTGCTGCTTTCAACTGCTGATGTTGTTACTACAACTGCTTCAAATATTCAACTGCTTTAAATATTCTTTTCTTTTACCACTTGTAGTATTTTTACAGTAACCACTGCTGCTATGTGTGCAGTGTCGTTGTGACAGAACTAAATTTTATAAATATCACATTTAGGTATCTTGATCTACTTCTATTATTACAACCTCTACCACTCCAAACAAACACATCAACAGCAGTGCTAATGTCAGTAATCTTACAACTTGTATTTCTACAGTACAACCCATGCTAAAACCTTTGCAATAACAGAGACGATTATTTTGGATCATAATTTATAAACAAATGTCAATGTCAATTCAGATTAAAATAAATCTTCAGGTTTTCTACAGACATAAATATGGCTCATCAAATGTTTCCCTTTTCTCTCCAAGATTACTGTTGACCCCAGTGTTTTGGATGATATTATACTCACTCTCTCTCCCCTGGCTCCAGGGAGACCAGAAGATCCACGCTCACCAGGCATTCCCTGCATTCCGGGGCCTCCATTAGCACCGGGGGCACCAGCAGCACCAGGCTCTCCCTGGACACAAGCACAAAAGTAATGATCGCATCAGAAATAAATCCTTCAGAAATCAGAAACAAACAAATATCTACTGGAAATAATCAGTTGTAACGGAAGTGGAGAATTGAGACTTGTATTATTTATGTTTTATTTTTATTATCGTGGTAAGTTAGTAATCTAAATCTGAGGCTAATGAAAGTCATGAGCTCAATGACGATCAGGAGACAACCTTACTGTTCAACATTTCATCTGCAGCAGGTGGTCAACCCAGCATGGGCGGTACTCACCTTAGCACCATCGTTACCAGCAGGTCCAGGGGAACCACGGTGTCCAACTGGGCCATTAGGACCAGGAGCACCACGCTCACCAGGGAAACCTCTGTCGCCCTGAAGGGTGAAGAGGACGTATCAGGTGAGGACATTATTTCAGCAGAGGACGAGCAGAATGTTGTGTGAAAGGATCAGAACCAGAGACTTACTCTTGATCCAGGTGCGCCGTGGGGTCCAACCTCACCAGGAGCTCCCTGAGGAATGAGGAGAAAAGGAATAAAGTGGTCATCAATCCTAATTTGTTATGTTGAAGTAAAACTTCCTGATGAGGCTACAGTAAACTGCGGTCCTTACCTGCTCACCAGGCTTGCCAGTCTCACCAGCAGCACCTTGGGGTCCAGGAAGACCCTGCACAAAATGGTTATGGTCACAAAAATGAAATGTTTCTCCGAACCAGATTCCATGTGTGAGACTGCTATGAAGCCTACCTGGAATCCAGCAGATCCAGCAGGTCCTTGCTCTCCCTTCTCTCCAGCAGGTCCCTGTATGGAGAAAACACAGCTGTTCATGGAAAATCTTTTCACATGAAATAGTCAGGAATAAAACCAAAGTGAAAAACTAAAGTACATACAGCAGGGCCAGAAGGTCCAGGAGCACCAACATCACCATCTTTGCCAGGGGCACCCTGTAGTTAAGAGGGTTAGAGCAAAGATTATCAGCATTCTTGTTCTCTATGGTAAATTAAAAGAAATCAGATTTGTGGACTGTTACTTACAAGAGCGCCAACAGCACCAGCAGCTCCTCTCTCACCAGGTTTGCCAGACTCACCCTGTAAAACAGAGCAAATGTCCTCATCAATATTCTAGTGACATATTTTCATATCTTCTACTCTACTGCAGAGTTCTGTTTCTGAATATGTTTGGGAATTCAGTCGGTTTTTCTGTTAACTTACAGCAGGTCCCTTAGGTCCGGGGAATCCCATCACTCCGGGCAGTCCTCTTCCACCGTTGGGGCCAGGAGGTCCAGGGCGTCCATCTTGTCCAGGAGCACCAGAAGGTCCAGCCTTGCCATCAGGGCCAGGTGAACCAGGGCTACCAGTCATACCCTATGAACGGAGAGGGAGAAAGCTGGGTTTTCAGAAGATGGAAAACCTTTCTGATTCCCAGGTGAAATGATGTTTGCAATTGGACTCACCTTGGATCCAGGAGCACCGGGGGCACCAGGACTTCCAGCCTCACCAGCAGCTCCCTGAGCTCCCAATGGTCCAGGGGAACCACGCTCACCAGGGGCACCCTATCAAGCAGAAGAAGATGGGGTCAGGATTCTGATGTTGGCTTAAAGTCTATGTTATGGATTAACATAGTGAAACTTAACATAATGAAAGGAGTTGTTATCTTACCTTGCCACCAGCACCTCCATCAGTACCAGGGAAACCACGAGCACCAGGGCCACCCTAATGGGAACAACAGACACAACACCTGAGTCTCCAACACTCAGATCTCATCTCCAGGATGCTAACACCCCTGGGAATTTAATGAATCTAAAACCTCAGCTGTTGACAAGCCAGAGTTTGATGGGATGATCGACCATTCAAACCCTGGCAATTTAAGTGTATAAAAGTAAAACAAAAATTACACGCTCTCCAGGGGGTCCACGAGGTCCAGCACCACCGGGCTCACCACGAGCTCCTCTCCTTCCCTCCTCACCAGATTGTCCAGGAAGTCCCTGAACTCCAGCGGGGCCCTGAAAAAAAGGAGGTATATTCAGAATTAAGCTCTTCCATCTAAAACAATTCAAATGAATTGTTAATTAAACATAATGATGTATTCTGATACTTACAGGATCTCCCTTGGCACCAGGCTCTCCCTTAGAACCAGAGGGACCAGGGTCTCCCTGTGGAAAGAGACACATCTGTTTTAGCCTTTCCAGTGATCCACATTTTCTTTTAAATATAGAACAAAAAAGTTGACTCAAAATTTTAAAAATGGCACAGTTCAATTGTCCACTTACATTGTTACCCTTGGGACCAGGGGAACCAGCAGGTCCCTGAGGTCCAGCAGGACCACGAGAACCTGGGAAACCAGGAGCACCAGCAATACCAGCAGCACCCTGGTTTTTGTGGAGAATTTACAAGTCAGAATATTTCAGGCGCAGTAAACCTGTAAAAAGGTGTAAAAAACACAAATAAAATTGCTATAATACTCACAGGGCCACCCTTGTTGCCAGGGGCACCGTCAGTTCCAGGGTTTCCCTAACAAAGGAGAAAAAAAATGTAATAAGTATTTTATACTGTTGTAAAATTATATTGTTTGTAAATATTTTCATTCTCAGAATTTGTGATAAAGTTCCTTGTGGTCCAGCATATACTTACGGCAGGTCCAGCGGGTCCAGCAGGTCCGGGGTTACCAGGCTCACCACGGGCTCCCTGGGGTCCCTCAGATCCACGGCCTCCAGCAGGACCAGTCTCTCCCTGGGAGAGGAAGAATCAGAGTCTCATGAAGTGCAGTTAAACTGTATTTTCTTTTTTCTGACAGCTGTTTATAATATAAAAACAGATGATTTATTATTAATTATTGAATGCATTTCGTATTCTTTTCAAACATGTTCCTATATATAATAATTCAGGTTCACTACATTTCTGAATTTCTTTGTAAAAAGTAAAGATGGACCAAAAATGTTGACCTCTATCCTAAACAGCTTGTTTCTTTGAATCATCTTTCGACCATCAACGTTACAGCACATACAAATTAAAATAGATTTCTCATCTATTGCACTGGATATGGGTAAAAAAAACAAAAACGTTTTTTGTTGCTCATAAACAATTACTCTGACTGTAAGGTTGAACTGGTGCCATCTAATGGCTATGTTGTTCACCACGAAGTCTGTAGTATTATTCTAACAGTAAAATCATTAGTTATTTTAATATTAATAATTATTATCATTAGTGTATAAATACTGTAACCTTTATTTGTCTTTTCAGGCTTTTATCTGTTTATAGGGACATAATGCAACAACCCTCCATGGTCATTTGATCTGACAGACACTTATGGGCCAAATTCTAACCATTATTTTGTCACCAAAGAGTTTGTGTCAATAATTGTCAATGAAGGGGTTATGTGTGTGATTTTTATTATTAAAAGTCTAACTGACATGTCGAAGTAAAATGTTATGCACAAAGTGTGCTGAATTACCTTTGCTCCAGCACCACCGGGGAATCCAGGGGGGCCAGAAGGTCCAGTAGCTCCCTGAAATCGAAAAGATGTGATGTCAGCGTCGTTTTCACCCAATCAGATCATTCAAAAGAAGACTATGCTAATGCTATTCTGTAGCATTCTATATTATACATACATATATATGTATATTATATATATATATTATATTTTTTTACATTGATCCACTGACATCAAGGGATCAGGATTTAATTAATTGTTTTAAATTATATATATATATGTATAATTATTTTAATATTTTTTGAATAATTATTTATACATAAGAATTAAAGAAAAGACAAATGCTCACAGGAGGGCCAGCAGCACCAGAGTTGCCATCGTTACCACGAGCACCCTGCAGGAACAAATCACAAATGTGGCTCAAAAGATGACACCATCACTGAACAAGAACAAGTTAGAAAGTTAGGGAAGGATTTACTGGGACTAAAATGACATAAACTTGTTACAATTTTCAGAACAAGGTCATACGTACAGCAGGACCAGGGGGTCCAGGGCGACCTCTCTCACCAGGAAGACCACGAGCACCCTGGAAATGATAGAGTTACAGAAGATTAGCCTGGTAGCGCTGCTACATCTTTTCACACAACATTTCTGATTCTAAAATTACACTTTAGTCAAATGGGTGAAGCAGGACGTACCATGGAACCGGGGATACCGTTCTCACCAGGGGCACCAGGCTCTCCCTGAGGACAGACACACACAGATTATCCTCAATGCTGGTGGTTAGAAGTCAAATATTTTGGCAACTTGCATGACATGAGTTCTTCACGGAGAGGAGGGACATGTTCTCACCTTAGGTCCAGCAGGTCCAGAGTCTCCCTTGGCTCCATCCAGACCGCTGAAACCCTGTTGCACAATTAAACAAAAACAATAAAACACCATTTCTAACCACAGCAACGGCAGACCATTTAAAATTAACTTTTCTTTTCATTTTAACGTTTGAAAGCTCCACTTACTCTGTGTCCCTTGATTCCAGGGAGTCCAGGAGTTCCGGGGAATCCACGAGCACCCTGCAGGACGAGAACCAACTGGTCAGTACCTGATTCTTTAACGCCATGTGACCTTCTCTTTATTACACCCACTCCTAATATTAGTTTTTTTCTAGTGGTGGGATTTTGGCTTTTTCCACAACCACCTTGTGACTTTTATCCTCTGAGGGGGGGGGTCACTCACCTGAGGTCCAGGAGCTCCACGCTCACCAGGGCGTCCAGCTTTGCCAGGCTCACCCTGTCAGGGACCAAGACACAAGGTTAGTAGAGGAACGACTTTTAGCAAAGTCCTGCTGCTGTGTGACATCATGTGGCATGACAAAAATAATGGCTTACATCATCTCCGTTCTTTCCTGGGGGGCCAGAAGGACCACGGGAACCCATGGGACCCTGAAGACATCACAAATGATTTTGTTCAGCAACCAGGTTTGGTAAATTATATCATATATTATACAGTACATACATAATTATGAAAGGCAATGAGCATTGGGGTGATTAACTCTCAAAAATTAATGTGTCAAGGGGTTGGTGACTATGACAATAAGTGCTTAAGTGAGCACAGGAAGTAGCATTAGCTAAAGGTGAGGTTCAAATTTCTGATATTTTAACAGGTGACTATTCTTCACTAAAAAAAATCTTTATACTCACAGGAGAACCGGGCTCACCGGGCTCACCAGGGGGTCCAGTGAAACCCTGAGGACCCTGTAAGGCAATCGTAAAATAAATCAGTGTGGCTCATGCTCCTCCATGAATTTATCCTCCATATGTAGTCCTCTTTGATAAGGACTGACAACTGAAGCCAGTTACTTACAGCAGATCCAGAGGGTCCAGGAGGACCACGGGGACCCATGGGACCCTGTTTATGTGGACATTAGAGAAGCCATTAGAATAACTTGTTTATAATGAAAAGAATAATAAACTTTAGTTATATAAACATATATAATGTTTCATAAAAAATGTTTTATACCATTGGGCCTGGAACAGGTGGGCCACTTGATTTGGAGTGGTCAACGTAGCTCATTTGAGGAGAGAAGTTCTGTGGAAGATAACAATTTGAATCAATAAGACACCAAATGAACACAGGATATACCTGAGAGGTTTGAACGTTAGTGTGAATACATCCTGGATCACATGTTGTGGACTAGTCTACTGTCCTAATCAAGTTCTCATAGAATAGATGCTGAGTTTAAGGTCAAACTCTCATCTTCCTGTCAGTCAAGATCTCTGTCCTGAACAACAGGTCAAATCATTGCACAGATCTTCTCGACCTGACTTGACCCTGAGATTCACTCAGGGTGTACTCCAAACATCAGGTGAACATAAAAAAACATCCTTGGGGCGTCAGATTAGGTTATGTGTCAGGGATTAGGCAGCATCTGATTTAAAGGACCATGAGTTCTTCAGATGAATCTGTGGATGTTCAGACTTACTCCGCCAAGGCCAGGGGCACCAGGGGGGCCGGG